CTCTTCACTTACCAAATAAGGTGGATTCTTGTCATACAATCTTTTGTTTCCATATCAATATGCAATCAAAAATAAAATATAATTAAATAAATAAAAGGTATGAAGTATTTAAAAACCTAAATATTGACATGGATGACATGGCACGATTATGTGGTGTTTTGTATGCTTTTAAAGAGTTTCTCTTATATATATATATATATATATATATATATATATATATATATATATTGATTCTTATAATGCATGTCAAGAATATCTTTGGATGTTTTTACTTGAACAGTATAGATCAGAACAGACTTGAGTAATTATAAAATATACAGAGATTAGACATTTACCAAACTAGACGAGACCAGTTCAGACCAGATCTAATCGAAAAATTCCAATCCAAATAAAAACATCATTTGGCGGCATTAGTTTATTTTTACAAAACAATATTGCACCATACAATCAAGCTTTGAAACACAGGAAACCAGAAGCCAAAAATAGGTTTATGAGAATGGTGGGGGTATTTTCTTATTTTATGGAAATAGGTAACATGCAAGGTAAAAACGACAGTTTGACTAGGTTTTCTAAGAAGGGTGGATTCAGAAAGGGTTTCCGATTGGGATGGTGGGCATTGGGCAATTGGCCATAGATATGTTGGTTGGACGGGGGGCTTGACAAATGTAAAATCCCTTTTTTTTTATTAAGGGTAATTCTATTTGCAATCCCCAAATTGCTATTTACAGCCACAAAATCAAGTAAATATCTAATTTGCCCTTCCACTTAAATCAGCTCATCCATTCATATCGAGAGCCTCCTCCACTTGTTCATCCCATCTGAAGCGCTCCTCAAATGTCCTCAGCTGAAGAACGAATGAAGGCCACACTCCAGAATGACTGTTTGAGACCATCCTAATTCTTTTCATTTAGCTTCTAAATTTGGAGCAATACTCTGTGGTTTTCTACTTTTCTATTAACAAAGGATTTTGAGAATTACGGCGTTAATTGATATACTAATATATTCCACTAATTTGTATGTGTTGTTTTACAAAAGCATTGTATACAATTCTTACAGCGGATAAAAATTAAAAAAGCTTAATTAACTAATATTGCTTTACCACCGTCAAATTGATCTCGTAGCAGATCTCATCCTTCAATCCTTCAATCTATTACCATTTTTGGGCATAGTTTCAATACTCTGAAAATATTTTGTTAAGGGGGCAGATGAGGTATTGGGTGGTGGTGCCAGCTATTTCCTTTCATGTAGAAAGGCTATTGCTGGGTTTGAAGTGATTTCCTTGCCTAGCAGCTGCTGCGATGATATGCCAAGAAGGAGAACCAGGCGAAGTTCATCCTATCTTTCGTATGTTTTATCTCTTGGCATAGCGGTCTTTACAGGGAAGGGCAAAATAGGTTTTATATTCTTTTGTGGCTGTAAAGAGTAAAGCAGTGTTTGTGATGGCTTAAAAAAAGTGATTTTCAGCTTTTGGCTTAAAAAAAGCTAAAAAGAGTGTTTTCAAATGACAGTTTCTACTTAAATTAATCACTTAAAAGCTAAAAGCTGGAAGCAGGTAGAAGGGTGCTTTAAACTGCTTTTCACTTTTTCTATTACACAAAAAGTACTTATTTTACCAAACATTACCAACTTTTACTTTTTCAGAATCACTTTTTTTTTCAAACACTACCAACTTTTACTATTAATCACTTTTCCCAAAATCACTTTAAAAAATCACTTTTTTAAAGTTGAAGCAATTGCAAACACTCCCTAAATTGTGGGTTGCAAATAGAATTGTCCTTTTATTAAATGATATACCATTTTCATTTGTATTTCAAATTTTACAAACTACGGAGTATCAAAATTCATAACTTATACGATCTCTCTAATGAATTTTGATATATACTTTTTATAAAAATAGGAATACAAATAAAAAAACTTAACACTTTAAAAAATGGATTTTTTTGCCTAACCCATGTTTTCTTTTTCATTCGAAATGTGACATGCTAATTCCCTTTTTTCTTGCCGTAATATGAAGTTCCGTGTTTGTGCTTGTCAGATAAAAAAAAGTCCCGGTCTTTCGAAAATTTTCTCCTATTTAAGGGTATATTTATTACTTGCTCTAAATTGATCTAGGATTTGGGATGTTTTCTTTTGGATTGTTTTTGGTGCCAGATTAGACCAAACTAGATCAGATCAGACTTCCATAGTTATAAAATACACTAAGACCAGACGTTTACCGGACCAGTTCAGACCAGATCAGACCAACAAATTCTTACACATTTTTCTCTCCTCTGCACAATTCTCAACCACACATTTCCCACTTTCTTAATCTCCGTGCCCAGTCAAAACCGAAGTTAATTCTGAGACGGAGGGAGTACTACTTATTAATTTTTATATGGTGATACTTTAAGAAAATAAAAATGGATGGATCAAGAAATGAGGAGGTTCCATAATCCATTTCCCAATTTTGTGCACAATACACAGTTCTAGTTTTCTACACAAACATAAACATGTATGGGCACAATTGTAAAAAGACAAATGAATGAACACCGTTGACGCACAAATTAAAATGTGACAAACATATATTAACCGTCTCTCATAAAGATAAAAGAGTCAATTCTCTAAATAGGACTAAAAAGTGGCAAAATTGCACAAATAGGACTACATTTTTAAAATTCCCTTAATAGGACTATTTATGTGTGTTTGGACAAATATACCCTTGTAACTTATGAAATGTTTCAATTAATAATAAAATCATAAAAAATTAATAAAAATCGAAAAAAATACTAAAAATCGTAAACAAATAATAGAAAATTAATAAAAAAATATTTTTTAAAAAAATAAAAAAAAAATTTTTTTAAAAAAATAAAAAAAATAAAAATAAAAATAAAAAAAATCATAAAATTAAAAAAAAAAACATTACCACCCCTGCCACCCCCCAGCACCACCAGCTCCCATCACCGGAGAAAAATATGCCAACATTTTAAATAATGCCATAATGATGACATATTTAATGAAAATGTTGGCATATTGAAGAGTAATTATGCCATCTTTTTGGCATTTTCAGAAAAATATGGCATTTTTTTACCAAAAGTGGAAGAAATTTCACCAATCGGAGGTGGTGGTGCTGGGAGGCGGCGGGAGGCGGTGGGAAAGGTATCCATAATTTTTTTCATTTTTTATGGATTTTTACTATTTTTTATTATTTTTTTAAAAAAATTAAAAAAATAAAAAATTAAATTTTTTATTTTATAAATGGTTTATAAATTTTTTATAATTTTTTTACGTTGTTTAAATATTTTTTACGTTTTTTATGATTTTATTATGAATTAAAGCATTTCTTTATAAATTAATACTCTTAGGGGTATTTAGGGTAGAAAATCAATGTTTAGTCCTATTTAGGGAATTTTAAAAGTAGTAGTCCTATTTGTTCTTTTTAGGAACTCATTAGTCCTATTTAGGACAATTTCCGAAGATAAAATGTTTTGAGATGTATCTTGTTTTACACAAAGACATTGTCCGTGGTCTAATTTCACAAACAATAACTATATCCGACTGAAACCGTAATATTACTTTTCAAAGACAATCCTGTAATCTACATATTATTGTCTACAATATGTAGATGAGAGTATGAAAATATGTCCAAGCATATCATTTTTCTTCATTCCTTGATAGACGTGACTGAAACCGCACAGATGTTAATGAAGGGAAAAATAATTGCAAAAAGATTGGTGCGACAACGTATCATGATGCATCTGACCTTACTATATTAAACAAACCGTTTTTTTTTTGAATGAATTAAACAAACCGTTGGAATTACACTAATCCCAAATGTACCCAACTCATCTGTCTTAATAGGAAAATGATCAAATAGACTCTTCTATGCATTATACAAGTATACTTTTTAAATAAAATCAATCAAGTCATTTAGACTTGCTATAGCAGGTTATTTTTTAAAAAAATAATAATGAGGAGTATTGATAAATCTTATAAAAATTCATATCAATTTGAAAAATAATGTAATAATTATATAAAAATAACATAAAAATTAAAAATAATTCAAGGATTTATGTGATCATTTTCTCATCTAAATGTATCATACATAAACTTAGGTGATGTTCTGCTCGTTTTATTCTTATTACTTATTGCTTATTCTTATTTTATTCAGATCAGATCAGACCAGATCAAAAAAATTCAGATCAGATCAGATCAGAAATATTCAGATCAGATCAGAATCATTCAGATCAGATTAGAAGCATTCAGATCAGATCAGAAAATTTCAAACATGATTTATCACTTTTATTATTATAAAATAATAATAATAATAACAATTATTATTATGATTATTAATCTTATGATTATTATTGAGGTGATTATTATTATTATTATGATTATTAATATTATGATTATTATTGAGGTGATTATTATTATTATTATTACTACTACTATTACTATTACTATTATTATTATTATCATTACTAATATTAATATTATTATTATTATTATTATTACTCCATATTATAATTATTGTTATTATTATTATTATTATTATTATTATTTATTTTTATTATTATGAAAAGTAATAATAATTATAAAATATAATTAAAAATGTAATTACAATTATAATTATAGTTATAATTATAATCAGTGCAGTCATTATAATTTTTCATAACTTTAATTATAATTATAATTATAATTAAACATTTTTAGAATTATGACTATAATTATAAATTATATTTATAATTACAATTATAATTATAGTTAAAGAAATATTCAGATCAAATCAGAAAGATTCAGATCAGATCAGAAGAATTCAAATCAGATCAGAAACATTCAGATCAGATCAAAAAGATTCAAATCAGATCAGAAAAATTCAGATCAGGTGAGAACTTAATCAAAGCCTGTTTTGGGGTAGCTTAGAATTTGGAGGGAGGTCTGTTTTTTTCGGTTGAGTTATGGTAATCCAAAGAAAATTTAATGAGTGCATCTTTCTCGAGCAAAACTTGATCAAAGCCCTTTCTTTTATTAAAAAAAACTATGTTTTCAAAAATTCGAAAGTAACTTCACTTTCTAGAGCATAATAATTGTCAACAGAACTGGGAAATCATAAAATTGCCCGATGTGCATTACAACGCAGTTTTCAACCAATGTGGGTTTGACACATAAGCTTTGTGGCTTCTCCTGTCGAGAACCTAACAAGATTTTCAAGCACCTGACTACCTGAGTACCTGACCTTCCTTTTATGGTGAAATGCATATCCACAAGAATACTGGATTTACCCAATGACTTTTCATCAAGGGCCCATTTGGAATCCAGAAAATGCTAGGGAAACAGGAAAAGGAGGGAAGTAGAATAGAAATTTGGAAGGATATAAAAATTTGAGAGAACACAATTTTGGTTTGAACTCAATAAATAAGATTTAGATATTTGTTCAAACTCAATTATATATAATATATAGACACGCACACACATCACTCACATACATACATAATTTTAAAGGTTATAATAAAATTATATTTTCCTTCATATTTTACAAGGTAAAACCAAACATTAAAAAAAAAACTATTTTCCACATTTATTTTCCCTTTTCCCTACCATATTCCTCACTCCAAACATAGACCAGGTCATGATAGAAAACCTGCACAAATGCTTCTCTATCCCATGTCAGTGTCAGGATCAAGAAACTCCTCTTGGAATTGAAGCTGCAGAACAGCAACTTAGGTAAATGTAAAAGTCAAACAGCAAGGACACTATTAAAAAGAAGGTAAGTTGCTTACGGATGCGGAGTTGTGTTCTAACTTCATCCTTCTGTATTCCTCCTGTGCCTTTTTGGAACGGAACATGGCCTGCACCCTTACCACCGCCCTCTCAACCCGCTCTTCAGCTTGCTTCCGGCTTACTTGAAAGAATTCCTCTTCCACCACAGTACTGCCTTCTTTCTGGTTATCAATGGTCTCAGGAACCTGAAGTCCACGGAACCCTTTTCTTTTCAAACGCCAGCGCAAAATTGCCTTTTCAAGCACCCCCACTGACCAAGTGATCTTTCTGTACTGCTTCCGTGCTTGAAAACCACGGAAGATTGCCTGCAATAGAAATTACCATCATCATTATCACGACTTATCTACAAGTTGAATAATAAACTACTACTTTTGATCATGTGACCTGAACTTACAACTTTATAACATCTAAAGAAATAATGGACCTAAACAATGTGGTAATATGAAACTACAGTACTACTGAAATTCTGAACTTAAGCGTATCAGAATCATTTATAAATGATGCTTCATGTGTTGTGTTTCCAGTTTAAAATTGGAGCTAATCCATTGTATAAACTCAGGAAACCTTTCACGTTCATGATGCACATTGGCGTCCCATGATGCTATTGGTCTGCTTTATTGAGCTAATCCATGATGCCATTGGTCTGCTTTATCTTCTTTTGCAGAACAGGGTCTGAGTTTGAGTGTGTAAGTGAAAAGAGGCCTATTGACTTACAGTATCAGTTGGCGGGGACGCCAATGTGCACTGGGCTGCCCTTTATGGCACTGTTTTTACTTTTCCCTATGTTGCAAATCATTCGTTTTGCATTTTTTTCAAATTTCAAATGCATAATCACTCTGGAGAAGGAAAGAGATGGTACCTGAATTTTAACAGCTTGGCGACGCATGTTAACAAAATCTTTCCGTATCTTCCACGTTCGAAAAGTATACTGGATTCTTGCAGCAGCTGCCAACCTTTTTCTGGTCTCGTGCCTGCGAAAAGCATGCTGGATCTTCATGGCTGCAATGATATTGCATGCCTCGATCTCTGGAGTTGAGGACTCAACCACCATTTTCCTCAATTTGAAGGAGTGTTCCCTGAAAGCAGCCTGTATGCGTGCAGCAGCATCAGCTGCTGTCCGGTAAGCGGTCAAAGTGTCATTCAGTTCCAAGTCACCACCAGTGAAGTTGTCAGATTCAGCTGACTCAGTTTGAAGTGAGCCGCTTGCATTGCCAGCCAAAGTCATGTCTTTGAACTGTGCAACTAGAGCCTTTTCTGAAAGATAAGCTCCTAAACCCTCATATCCATTTTTGGATGCAAGGTCAGCTGCAGTGCATCCAGCAGGGGTTTCAGAAGTTGGATCAGATACCATAGACGGCTTTGCCCCGGCAGATAAAAGAGTTGCAACCATTTTTTCCCTACAACAAAAATTTTTACCATTCACTAGGGGTCTGTGTGGAATCCAGGAGACACTATGGAAGAGAGCAAAATTTAAAAGAAAGAGAATTTAAAAAATAAATAGGTTCAAACCGAATACATTTATTTTAGATACTTGTTCAAAGTCATTTTACTCATTTTTATTATTATTTAGTTTCTATCATTTCAAATGGAGCCAAAAACTCACTATTTTTTGGCTTGGGAATATGATGGAATAAAGAAAAATGGCTAACTAAACTGTGTGTTTTTTTGTTACAACACAGCAGTCAGTCCATGCAATTTTCATCGATCATCTAGTAACAACCTCTAGTCAGTCCATGCAATTTTCATCATGGATCATCCAGTATGCCTTTGCAGCACTGGAGTAATGTTGTTGTCTCATTTTATCTTTTTTTCTTCCTTATCTTATTTATTTGTTTCTTTTTTATCTTGTTTATCTTATCATTTTTATTTTGTTTGTCTTATTGTTTTTATCTTTATCTTATACTACGTATTTATCTTTCTTTTCTATCTCTTTTTATCTGTTTATGTTATCTTTGTTATCTTTTTAAACTCTGATTTCATATGTTGATTCATGTTAACCGACCCCCAACTCTTTTGGGACTTGCGCTAAGAAATCTAAAAATATACTACATATGTTCTTAAATAGTTGCAACATTATCCAAACTTTACACTATTCACATTCTCTACTTTGACTATATTTTATTTACGAATACATTAAAAATTTATTTTTAAAAAATATATATAGGTTATTCTCGCTTTAAATTTTCATAATGTGATTTTGAAATTTATTCACAATTACGGAATGAAATATATCAATGGTCAAAGTTGTGTGTTGGCAAACGTGAAAATGGAAGTGTTGCAATTAATAAAGAATGGAAAAGTACATAAATTAAATGATTAATCATAAGACAGATTCCAGGATTGCATTGAAGTCATTCAACTGGAGATATTTAGGTCAAAGAACATTAAAAATTAAATTCAATCTATTATCCAGTTCAATAGAGATCTTATAAGCCTTGGCATTTAAATTTTCTTTAAAATGCAGCAACATTGATTTGAAGGATCATGGACTGCTGGAGCTGGTTCTAGACTTTCCAGCAGACAACTTGGCTAAAGACTCAAGCTCTTGCTTTGATACCTGGTCGAACCAACATTGGGATGGAGTGACTCAACTGAACTATACGACAACTAGGTCAAACCAAGGTCTTTTAAACCTTATCACTTTTCTATTTAAATGAGCCTGAGGCTGTTGAACTTCCTGATGGACAACTGGGCTATAGATACAAACTTAATTTGATAATTGATACCATGAAAGAATTGCAGATTGGGTTGAAATTAACCAACAAGGCCATAAACATTCAGGTCAAACCATTCAGAAAGAGTAGAACCAATCTATTAACTTTGTCAACTTGAAGTCTTCTTAACCTATCACTTTTCTCTTAAATTTTCCGAGGTGAGCTCTAGCATGTGCCAAAAAGAGGATTCAATGAAGGGGGGGGGGTAGTGTACCTGCCATAATATGCAGCCCAATGAAGAGCAGTCCAACCAAATTTATCTCTATAATCCAATGATAGGCCAGACCATTTGTATGGATAAACCGCCCACGTGTAACCCAGGATAGCACACAGATGAATAACACTTTGACCTTGCTCATCACGCTCAGGGATTTTACATCCGTCAAGAATTTGTTCCAAAAGCCATTCATGTACCTTGTTGTGCAAAGACAGCTCTAACAATTTGTCTTTTGCTTGTGGGAAAGAAAGTTCATTGTGGTTGATTAATTTGGTTAAATGTGCCCAATTGTGGGTTATTTGGGAACATTTATGTGTAAATATTTTAGCTGCTTTCATGGCATCTTGTGTTACTTTACTAGACGAAAATCCAACGTTCTTAGGTGTAGCAAACAGCATGTGTGCAAGCCTCAGTTGATCTCTCAACTCTTTCCAATCATACTTCACCTCTGAAGGAACACTTGATTCATTAGGAACTAATGGAGTCCGAAATTCAAAGGTTATTACTTGACTTATAGGCTTAGAGCCATCAAAACTCAAAAATAGGTTAACCAATCCAGGACGATGGGGTAAAAATAAACATCGATATACCCCCGACTGGATTATCTCTGCACGGACATGAACATCTCCACAGACGCAAACAAGATTGGCACTTTGCAATTGCAAATGTCTTTCGTGAAAATGCCCAATCAGTAATACCTGAAATGATAAATAATAGATTTGAATAAAGGGTGCCCCCATTCGTTAAAGAATATATAGCATTATAACAGTGTCATGTGGCAAATACACCTGAGTGCGAACTTAGGAAGGATCAAGCGGAGAGGGCGTACATAGATAGCAAGTTTCAGGACTGGAAATACATAGATATCTCTCACTTAAAATCAGATCAAATTCAAACAATGTCAGCTCTATATAAATAGAACCATTTCTTTTTCCGTATTCACTAGAATGACACTAAATACAATTTGTGTTGCCTATGTCTTATAAACAGAGATAGCCGCGGCAAAGTTGATCAAGAAAGAACGGCAAGAAAATTGAATAGGATTTTGTAGAAAGACATGCTTATTGTAAGAAAAATGACAAATATATGCCTAAAAATGACTATGATGGTATTTTCAGTGACAAGTGAACATAGAGATGTTCTGTTTTATTATGCAGTGCCCATAAATACATAATGATAGTTTGCAGAGAATGTCATGGAGAATGTAGTCATACTATGTTAGCTAGTTTTGTTTTAGCTGGGGGCGTAGCTCATCTCGTGGAAAGAGGGTGCCAAGGGAGAGGTATTGGGTTCAACTCCAAGAAAAGACTTGGGCTGGGAACCTCACTCTCTTTCCACCAGAGTGTGATGAAGACAATTTACATCCTCCCATATAACTGTCCTGCCGGTTCTGGGGGGCCTCGGGGATGAGGTGTCATCCTTTTATTTATGAGTTTTGTTTTAGTGATAATTATAGGGAAAACTCCTTGTAGGAAATGATGAGAAATAACCTTTGTTTCTTCAGTTGAAAAAGCCCATGCAGGTGAGACATCTGTTATGTTGAATATCTGCTCCTGTGCAGATAACTGGCCATCAATAACATTCAGCGACTCAAAAGTTTGATAAACAGCTGAAGTTGTAATCTCTGGTGATGGATCATCTGTAGATCCTGGAGAATCTGCAGCTATTAGGTAATTCATCCATCTTCCAAAACTGTCTTGATTTAGGAGACCATCCTTACTGAGATTCTCAGAACCGTTCCTCTGAGAATATAAAGTCATTTGACCATTCACCGACTGAAGCATCACATCATTTGAAATGTCAGAATTAAGGGAGTTGTGGACAGAAATTTTCCCGGGTAAATTATCAAAAGGTTGTGAAGCTAATCTCTCAGCAGACAGGCTGTTACCCTACAAATTACATAATCAATGGCCACATCAGGTTGCAATTTGAACAGAGAAGGAAAAAGGATATAAATTGAAACACGGACGCTTGTAAGAAAAGAGGGTACACTTGTGACGACATTTGCAAATAGGGTATACTCACATTGAGCCTGAAATCATTTGTTTCATGTTGATGCTGTTGCCCATGGGAAGATTTTGCTACCACTGATCAGTCCAGTCAATCAGAATGGAGAATACAAAAAGCTATTAGAAAACTGATTTAAAATAGAATTAGAAAGAATCACTCTAATATACCTTCTTGGGTAGATTGCGATTTGATAGGGTCATCAGGCACCAAGAGCTCATCCCAGTCAAGTGTGTTAATTTCATGTAAAGTCTGTTGATGATGTTGGATTGTCATGTTGTCATTAAGCTCTGCCAATTAATGAGACGAGAGAACTTATATACGCTGATTGTAAGCTGTTAGAATCCCACATCAGATAGTTAAAGATATAATGAAGGGATATTTAGACTTTGGATCAAGCAAGCTAATAGATTGGATTCAGTCCTTTGGTGTAACTTGACCTATGTATCGTATGGCCTAGTTAAGTGATCCCTGCCCAAACCTGAATTCTATCAAAGGAAAACAATGCAACAGTCATTTAAGCCTCACTCTGATGAGTACGAATCCCAGAAACACCAATTTAATAATTGATATTGTTCCCAGGAATAGAAGAATTACAATTCAGAAGATGACGATAAAGGAAAACAAGGATAAACTGTCGTAGAAGTAAACTGAGACCAGTTCGAGAGGGTCTCTCTCTCCACAACTTCTGCCCACGTTCCAGAATGCCTTCTCTCTCCAGTCGTTGCCTTTTTATTCCCTCAACCATACCGATACTTCCTCCTTAGTCGGTTATGCCTCCACTCTCCTGTGTTGATAGTCTCTTCCCCTTTTTACCCCTACGGTTATAAACTTTAGAAAAATCCCGATTAGGATTAATTCTAAAATTTAGGCTCGTATCATCACCCCGCCCTTCAAAACTCACCTTGTCCTCAAGGTGAAAATCAGGGAACATAGACTGGAATTGCAGCAAGTCCTCCCATGAGTCTTCAGGTTCAAAACACTGCCATTTAGGCCAGTGTTTTGGTTGCTTCCCAGTGAGGCATCTCAAGTAGGTTTCCAAACATCGATTTACCACCTCAGTTTGTCCATCAGTCTGGGGATGATAGGCAGTACTATATTTAAGCTTGGTACCTGCTAGTCTGAACAGTTCTGACCAAAACGAACTTAAGAACACACTGTCCCTATCGGAAACAATGGTTCTGGGAAACCCGTGCAACTTCACAACTTCATGAATGAATATTTCAGCGACCCCCTTGGCAGTATATGGATGTGCAATGGCCATAAAATGAGCTGATTTGGTGAACCTGTCCACCACAACCAGTATAGTATCCTTACCCATAGTCCTGGGTAATCCACCTATGAAATCGAGGCTGATATCAGCCCAGATGTGAGTGGGAACGGGTAATGGATGTAATAACCCTGCCGGGCTTAAAGCCTGATACTTATTTCGTTGACATACCTCACAACTACTCACATATTTCTGAATTTCAGACCTCATTCCTTCCCAGTATATCACACTAGCTATGCGCTTTAAGGTTCTGACATACCCCGCGTGTCCTCCACTAGCTGAATCGTGAAATTCTGTCAACACCTTATTGATCCTGGGTGATCCCTTGGGTAACATAAGTCGGTCTTTGTAATAAATCAACCCCTTTCTTAATTTAAACCCGGGGTGAGATTCTGGTTGGGCTAACATATCTTGAATGAGCTGATTGCACCTTTTATCTTTCAGTAATTCCTCTTCGAGCCCTTCCCATTCCTGACAACTGACCACAGATAATGCTTGGTAACTCCCCTTTCTAGACAGAGCATCCGCGGCCTTGTTTTCCATCCCTGGTTTGTATTTGATACTGAAATTGTAGCCCATTAGTTTGGCCACCCATTTTTGTTGTTCCTCCCCCATGAGCCTTTGTTCTGTCAAGAATTTCAGACTTTTTTGATCCGTGTGAATTTCAAAAGGTCTACCCAAAAGATAAGGTCTCCACTTCTGAACTGCCACCACTATCGCAAGCAATTCCCTTTCATAAACTGATTTGCTTTGGTTCCTTGCTGATAAAACTTTACTCATATAAGCGATCGGTCTGCCCTCCTGCATCAACACAGCCCCAATTCCCTGACCAGACGCATCTGTTTCTATGATAAATGTTTTGTTAAAATCAGGATTGGCTAACACAGGTAATTGGGTCATAACCTGTTTCAATCTTTCAAATGCAGTTTTGGCCTCCTCAGTCCATTTAAACCCATCTTTCTTGAGTAAATCAGTGAGTGGTTTGGCAATCCTGCTATATCCTTGTACAAACCTCCGATAATATCCAGTCAATCCCAGGAAACCCCTCAATCCCTTTACAGTTACAGGAAAATTCCAGTTTACCATGTCCTGGATTTTGCTAGGATCTGCAGCTACACCCCGACCAGATATTATATGTCCCAAATAAATCAGTTCCGTCTGCCCAAAGTAACATTTCTTCCTGTTAACCACCAGCTGGTTATCTTGCAGAAGCTGCAGAACCTTTCTTAGATGTTCGGCATGCTCTTCCTTATTTTTACTGTAAACCAATATGTCGTCGAAGAACACCAGCACAAACTTCCTCAAATAAGGTTTAAGGACCTGATTCATTAAAGCCTGAAAAGTAGAAGGAGCGTTAGTTAACCCGAAAGGCATTACAACATATTCATAATGACCTTCATGGGTTCGAATGGCTGTCTTGGGAATATCACTTTCTTTCATTCGAATCTGGTGGTAGCCAGATTTCAAATCCAGTTTAGAGAATATTTTAGCTTCACCCAGCTCATCTAGTAGCTCTTCTATCACTGGAATAGGGAATTTGTCAGGGATAGTGATTTTGTTGAGGGCTCGGTAATCGCCACAGATCCTCCAACCTCCCTCCTTCTTCTTCACCATGATAACTGGACTGCTATAAGGGCTGGTACTGGGCCTTAGTATGCCGGTTATCAACATTTCTTGTACCAATTTCTCTATCTCAGTCTTTTGATAGTGTGGGTATCTGTATGGCCTGGAGTTAGGAATAGGAGCCCCTTCTTTTATATTGATAGAATGATCACACTCTCTTCTAGGAGGTAAACCAGGCTGCATGTGGAAAACTGGGGAGTAGGCTTGTAATATTTCTTTCCATCCTTCTCCACTTTCATTCGCTTCTAAAACTGAATCTGATTCACTGCAATGCACATAATAGCCCTGCCCTTGTGTCTGTATGGCTTTAAGTGTTGTCTTCCAGGAAGTTGTAGCTTGATTCAAAGAGTAGCCCCCTGTCAACAACCTTTCTTGTCCTGCTTCCTTCCAGGTGATATATAATTTTCGGAAATCAGCCTTCACTTCACCAAGACTAGACAGCCATTCTATTCCCAATACCAAATCCGTTCCGCCTAACTCCAAAAGATAGAAATCTTGTTTGATTTCTATGCCCTGCACCCAGATTTGTAACTGTTCACACCTTCCTCTGTTTATTATCTGGTCTCCGTTTCCCAGTTCCACTTGGAATCCTGTGTCGCTTTTATAATTCCAACCCATCTCTTCCACCAACTTTTGAGAAACAAAATTATGTGTAGCCCCAGAGTCAATGAGAACCAACACTGATCTCTTTTTATTCAGATTCCGCACTTGGCCCCTGACTTTAAAGGTGTTTTGAGTGTGTATTCCCTCCTTGCTCAAAAGGTTCAACTGCAGAGATTGGAGTTCTTCCTCTACTGCTTCCTCGTCTACTTCCAAAGGTGCTTCCGTGGTTTCTTCTGAGTCTTCCACCATCTCCATCAATACGAGCTGGTAATTCTTCATCTTACATACATGTTCTCGATTCCACTTATCTCCACACGTAAAACACAATCCCTTTCGTGTCCTATCCTGCAATTCGGCTTGGGAGAGTTTAGGAACCCCCTTCCATGTGCGATTACCCCCCTGTACAGTTCCAGTTGTTCCAATTTTAACTTCAGAAATCCCCGGCTCCACAGTTGGATTGTTATTTGATATCACCCTCCCTTGTGATCCTCCCGTCCAGTACTGCAACTTAGAAGTGTGTCCCGCTTTTTCTGTCCATCCCCTTTTGTCCATCTCCTTGAGTCGTCCACCCTTGAGGGCCATATTTTTCTTGTCCACAAGTAATGCTTTATCCATCAGATCGGTGAGCCCATCAGTTGGATAAAGTTTCAGTTCAGCTTTAATCTCCTCTTTTAATCCCTTCATAAATACACCCTTCAGCATTGCCGGATCAGTATTTTTTAACGGGGCAACCACCGATTCAAACTGGTCTCTATAGTCCATCACCGACTCAGTTTGTTTAATACTGAGCATCGGGCCAAAAGGATCCTGCACGAGTTCGGGCTGAAACCTCCTGATTACAGCAGCCTTGAAACCCTCCCAAGTTTTCTGTTCGGTGTTTTCATCCCACCATTGATACCAATTCAAAGCTTTACCCTCCATTGCGATGAGCACCACTTCCAGCTTCTCTTCATCGGCCACCTGGTTAAGCTTGAAAAACCTCTCAACCTTGATAATCCATCCATTTGCATCATTACCGTTGAACAAAGGTAGGTCTACCTTTCTTCCGGTGCGAATCCGCTCTCTGTTAATAGGACTATCTTGGCGAGTTGAAGGGGTCCGAGAATGCTCAGAATGACCTTCCGCCCGCGAGGAATCCACACTGCCAGATAATCGGCGATGCCTGGGTGTGCGTGAGCGACCCCTGGTTTGTCGGCGGCCGTTCTGGTTGATGAAGTTCGTCATCGCCTCTCGCATCTCGTTCACTGAACGCTCCAAACTGTCGATTCTATTCTCCATCTGCGATCTCGTAACGGGCATCCACAGTCCTGCGATCGATTCTCTGATACCAAATGATGAGTACGAATCCCAGAAACACCAATTTAATAATTGATATTGTTCCCAGGAATAGAAGAATTACAATTCAGAAGATGACGATAAAGGAAAACAAGGATAAACTGTCGTAGAAGTAAACTGAGACCAGTTCGAGAGGGTCTCTCTCTCCACAACTTCTGCCCACGTTCCAGAATGCCTTCTCTCTCCAGTCGTTGCCTTTTTATTCCCTCAACCATACCGATACTTCCTCCTTAGTCGGTTATGCCTCCACTCTCCTGTGTTGATAGTCTCTTCCCCTTTTTACCCCTACGGTTATAAACTTTAGAAAAATCCCGATTAGGATTAATTCTAAAATTTAGGCTCGTATCACACTCCACCCCACCCCAAACAAAAAATGCATAACACATTGTCCCTCTTTCTTGTTTAAAGATAAATATTTCTAGATGCAATACATGATCTTTATCCAATTGAAGTTCAATGAACACTACCTAAACATGCTTGAATCCCACTGTAATTTGAAAATTCAATCGGTGACTCAGATTCTTCGGACAAAGGCAGAGGTAGTGACAGATTGGAACAGGCATAACTAGAATTTGAATTCCCGGGGGTAACTGGTGAACCCTGCAACTGCACAATTATATAAAAGATCATATGTTCAATTCCCTAAATAGGACTAAAAAGAGGCAAAATTGCACAAATAGGACTACATTTTTTAAATTCCCTTAATAGGACTATTTATGTGTGTTTGGCCAAATATACCCTTGTAACTTGTGAAATGTTTTAATTAATAATAAAATCATACAAAAATAATAAAAATCGAAAAAAATACTAAAAATCGTAAAAAGATAATAGAAAATTAATAAAAATATTTTTTAAAAAAATTAAAAAAATATTTTTTTTAAAAAAAAAAATCGTAAAATTAATAAAAAAACATTACCACCCCTGCCACCCCAGCACCACCAGCTCCCATCACCGGAGAAAAATATGCCAACATTTTAAATAATGCCATAATGATGGCATATTCAATGAAAATGTTGGCATATTGAAGAGTAATTATGCCATCTTTTTGGCATTTTCAGAAAAAAAATGGCATTTTTTACCAAAAGTGAAAGAAATTTCACCAATCGGAGGTGGTGGTGCTGGGAGGCGGCGGATGGCGGTGGGAAATGTATCCATAATTTTTTTCATTTTTTTATGGGTTTTTACTATTTTTTATTATTTTTTAAAAGAAATTTAAAAAAATAAAAATTAAATTTTTTATTTTATAAATGTTTTATAAATTTTTTATAATTTTTTTACGTTTTTTAAATATTTTTTACGTTTTTTTATGATTTTATTATGAATTAAAGCATTTCATTATGAATTAATACTCTTAGGGGTATTTAGGGGAGTAAATCTATGTTTAGTCCTATTTAGGGAATTTAAAAAGTAGTAGTCCTATTTGTGCTTTTTAGGAACTCATTAGTCCTATTTAGGACAATTTCCGTTTTTCTTTTTTACTTATATTTATATTTATAACATATTCCTAAATATAACAAAATACAGGGATTATTTAGTTAAGAGTAGTTCCAAGTGTAAAGTAACGATACAAACAGAGGGGCAAACTAGGAAACCAAAAAGTTAGTGATATTGATTTTCTGGAAGTGGATTGTTTTTTGGGAGGCACTAAAAATAAAAACACGACAGATAAAATGGGAGAGAGGGAATATTATAGAAAACATTTTCTTTTAATTACAGATGCATCTACACAGTAGGACAGAAAACACTCAGAATTAATTGAACATTACCTTTGGAGAAATGGTGAGTCTTGTGTTTATTTTTCTTTAGTGACGTCAATTGCGATAGTAAGCACATGGCTTGCAGGCATATATTTATATTATTTTGTTTTATTATTAATCAATATATTTTCATGGTAAAAGTAGCCTCATTGCAGAGACATCAAACTTGCCAGCATGTCTACTGCTACTGGGGAAAACTTCAATAACATGCCGCAATTAAATATCCATGTAATTTTCAGAAATACATCAGCATGGTTAATGAAGATAAAGAAAAAGAGAGAATATGAATAGGACTTCGTAAAGAATGTAGTGGACAAGAAGTGTTAAAGAAGTATAATGATTCATTGTTTGGTTCATATATAACAATAAATTATGGATAGAACTACATAGTTTAGAAAGCTAAGCAAAAGCAATACTTCGTATATGGTAATATACCCGACACACAGACACATATGTATAATGCATATAAAACAGGCAACGCACAAGAAACAAACCTCTTGTGTTTCACGATAATGAACAAGGACAATATGTTCCAGTGTCCTGTTACAAGAAAAAAGTAAAGCAAATATTTTACTGGACTTACTTTTAGTGCAAAATCTCAAATTTAAATATAGATTTATGTGGAAAGGAAAGCAACAGAATCCGTCAATTCATTATGAACTCAAAATTGTAAGGAGTAATACTTATCGAGCAACCAATAACATCTGCGAACGAATGTCAAATTATCTTCTCCGTGTGCATAGTACACGTGAATTCTTTCTTCATTGCCAACCTGCACTAAAAATAAGATCATTGAAGGAGAAAATCACAATACATGTGAATTTCCAAAACTGGGACGAATAGGTCATGATCTTGTTAAGTTATTCAATATCCTCAAAATGAAATATAAGCACAAAAACTCATATACTCCTTCCATCCCGAAAACGACTTTAAAGTTTGACCACATACTTGTGCAAGATAAAGTTTTTGTGTCATACTTACTCCACCCCTACTTCATGTCAAATCAAGTAAAAAGTAAGGGTAGTTGTGCCATTTGCTATTGAAAGTTTTCTTTTTTTAGAAATGAGAGGTTTATTTTGCGACACCCATATAAGGAAAGTCACAAATTGTTTTTGGGACATAGGTAGTATAAGGTTTTGGGCTACTCTTATTTGATTGACCTTCTAGAATGGAACAAAAAAGCTTAATGCTTTTTTCTTGGAGTTTCGGGAGGCATGTAGTTCTGCACAACTACACTGGTTGGAGGAGAAGATAAAAATATTAAATAATGAAAGGCAGATATATCTTACTCACTTTTAAATGCTCATGAGCTTCTTTAACAGTTTTCCCATCTTTTTTCTTCTTCCAATTATGGCCATCTTTTCGGAAGTTCCTGAGCTTTTTACGATCAAAGAAAACAATGGTACCACCTATATTGTGTAATCAAGATAAATATTAGACAAATAAGTGAGAAGATAATAACATTTTACAGATTATTGGAGTACTAAAAGGCACTGTGAGCTTTCAATGCCAAAAAGTGTTACTTTTTGGAAGGTTCACAGGCCTGACATGGACTGTGAAAAACTTGTAGTTGCAGAGCAAAGCATGAATCTCATTTGGCCTTAACCATCTCGTTTTGGCTTCCTCTGTTACAGTGTTAACATCCAAATCTGCACATACACATAAACCCCCTAAGAAAATATTTAAGAACCGACATATCTAATTTACCTTTTTCTTCTTTAGTCAAATCAATTGGCTTATTGTGACTGATTAATACAACAACACCATTACCCCAGTGCCGCAACGGCTCCCACCTACGATGGGGTGGAGGTGGGGTCGGATGAATGCAGTCTTACCCCTGTATTAAAGCACAGAGAGACCCATGATGAAAATCGCGTAGAAAATTGCATGGACTGGCGGCTGCTTCATAACAAAGAAGGCATACAGTTTCGCTCATGTATCTCATGTATCCATCACACTTCTCTTAAAGCTTATTTGGTAAGGGTAAATTTGGCTGAAACGAAATGACTCAACCGGTTAAAGTTGTAACTGAATTGGCTGACTTTCTAAATATTTTAAAAATAATAATCACTTAATATATTATATAAAATAGTGACTATAAACAAGGATTGAAGTGTCCTTTTATTTTATTTCAGCAACCTCACCAAACAAAGTACCTCGTCCACTACTTATTTTCTCATTAGTCTTATTCCGTCAGCATAAAATAGGTTAGTGTTTACTGTTTAGTAAAAAAAGTGCCACACACTAACACCTAGTCCAGGCAGTGTGTTATTCACATTATTAAGATTTGAGGTTTCAACATAAAAAGTTTGAAAAAAATTACTTGCTATGTATATTCTTATACACTCCATCTGTCTGTGTTTAAGTTCATGTATGATGTGATTGATGTCACTAATAATTTTTTATTGGGTAAAGAAAATATTACCCTAGAGTGTCAGATAGTGTTAAACAGTCAATAATTAATAGTCAAAATTCTATTAAACCAGATAGCCAGACATACCCCTGTGCCAAATAGTGTCAAAATAGCTTTTATGGAGTCAAAGAAAAAATATGATTTGTTTACACTCAACACATACCGTTATGGGCATGGAAAAGGAAGGCCAACAATATATGAATTTTATAATAAAAATTCTAAATGAAATGTTTCCAGGCTCACCAAAAATTTTGAATTATTGGGATCCTGATAAAGCCTTAGCTCATCTTCTAGAAAAAACAATAGCCAGCCGCTAAGCACATAATACTAAATTACTCCATAGTAAACAGCAACAAAACTCAGTAACGATAAAATAGTGAAAAAATAGCACAAAATTCAACCATAAAGGGTAGTGATAGTATACAGTAGTCGTTACCTTCCAAGGTGTGAAAGCCATGAATATCATACCCAGCAAGCAGACCTGATTCTCCATATTCCATTTCGATTTCCCACTAACTGCGTTTAAACTCCAGCTAAACAGAGCATCCAAACCTAGATGAAGAAAATTAACTATCTTTAATTACGAAAACCAAAGATATGACTATCTATCAAAATCAAAACCGAGAAAATAAATGAAACCATGACTTTATATAACTATACACCTAACTTGTATGCTTAATAATGGAGTCCCATTTCACATCAAGATACATACGTGTGAACACAGAGAGGCAGAAAGCAGATGAGAAGTGAAAGGGAAGACGAAGACCAGCGGAGAAATAGGGATGTGTACCCCTCCGAAGTGTATCTATCAGTGAGGAACAGAAACATAATCGAAGAAATTTTACAAATTACAAATGGGGAAATACAGGAAAGCCTGGTTTCTCCCAAAAAGTCGCAGTAATAATTCTATGGACCAGACAGCGACACAGTTTCAGCTCCAAAGCGTAAGCTTATGGGGCGGTTAATTGTTGTTAGAGCATCATCCACAGTAGAAAGTTGGAAGTGGAAATACGTATCCGTCTCTCTGTTGGGCTTGCATATTAATCAATTTTAGGACGGAGTATGGTATTGGTAGAACTGTAGAAGTATTAATATAGCAAATTTTACTGTCATTAATGGTACTCCTTTGTACCTAATTGTTCTTCCATAGTACAAATGGCACACATATTAAGAAAATGTGTATTGCGTAGTTGAGAATTGTGCAAAGGGGAGAAAAATGTGTAACAAATGTTGTGAACCACAAATTCTTTACCAAAAAAAATTGGAAGTTCGTTTGGGATGGATGAAAAGGAAAAGTTTGAAGTTCTTTCAGGGACGTAGGGAGTAATATTTTCAGTCAATTCCAAACACCCCCTTATTGCGAATTTACGAAAGAATGATAGAACTAAATTTTACGAAAGAATGATAGAAGAACTATATAACAATAAATGTGAAGGGTTTCAAAATATATTTTAAATATAATTATTTCATAAATCAGATCAACCAATTTAACCACTACAATAAAAATTTCATAAATTTCAACAGAAACAGCCAATTCATTCAATTTGGAGTATTATCAAAGGTGCAGTATGTACACAACTAGCCTCCCTCATATAGATGCACAGTTTGTTGGATGTCCCTCTTAGACGGAAAGGTGACAAAACTCACAAGTCAATGAATGAAGGCAAGTGTTGCTGATCTTTCAAAAAAAAAAATGTTGCTAAAGACTGAAACTGTAAAACACATCTTCAACTTTTTTCAGTCGTGCAAATTCAATCATCGGAATTATCGATTATTACTAATACTAGTATTGTACCCGTGCGATGCACGGGCCAATCAAATTCTTTTTAGTTATTTAGATATGGACATTAGAATGTTAAGTATATAGCTTAAATAAAAGTGAAAGTATACATAATTTATGGTATATGATCATGTGCAAGTTTGAGTTACTTAAATTTGTTAAAAAAATATACGATCGTAATACTAATATAACTTTTTATATAAAATTTGGGGTATATATATATCATTAATGCAAGTTTGGGATACTTATCTCACACTTCTTTGAAGTTTGGGATATTTAAATCATTTTGTCCCAATAAATAAATACTAAACATGAACGTTCTCTAACTATCGTACACAACTTGATTGGGATTTCTTGGTTAAGGAAGAATATTAAGTGTATGTATATCTCGAAGATGAACCTTTTATTCATGTCTTTAATCGATTATTTTATGCTTCAAGGAATTTATGCATGATTTTTTTCCTTGTCTTAAATTGTAAAGCATCAATGTATATAAATATCTATATCTATACACAACAGTACCTTCGCCATTCATTTGTAAATGTAAAGTACTTTTGTTATAAATAAATCGTGTGGTTGTTAAACGCATTGACTATCAAGTGGGTTTCATTCGTGGTATCAAAATTACTTCTAATGTATTCCTAAGGGGTGAAATTTAGGATTTCAGGTTAATAGTTTGCACTTAGAAGTTTTAATAAATATTTAAAAACACGTCTGATTATACATTTGAACATATTTCCCATAGTAGAAGGCATACAATTAGCACTTGAGTATGCCCGATTGGATAATTGATTTGTGTTTGTTTTTGTTATTTGTTTGTCTGTCTCCACAATTTAGTTCCAAATGAAATCTTTTCTTCATGGGTATTGTTGAGTTTAATCCAACACGATATAGTAAATATATGTATAAATGTGTATGAACAAGCTCTTTTTACGTGGAAACCCAAAAGGGAGAAAACCACGGGACTTTTTAGGCTAATGTCCATGCCCTCTCATTCTCATTAATCTCTCCTCACCATTACATAGTACAAGTATTGAAGCTCCCATTAATGGAGTCTTGGAAGCTATTCTAGAGAGAAGAAATGAGTTGGGGAAGAAGGAAAAAGGGGATCCCTAATATGGAGGGAAACTCCCATATTTATAGGGAATAGGGGAAGGGGATGCTCTCCACCCTAATGGGCCGCATGGGCCGGAGTGGGCCCAATGGCTAAAGTGGGCCGGATGGGCCGAAATGGGCCTAGCTGCTCGGGCTCCGTACTACGTAAAGCCTTGGACTCCTGAACAGTAATAAGCCGGGATAATATATCCCAACACAAGTCCCCCAGTTTCTTGAGTAGTGAGCTCGCGAATCTGCTCGAGAAAATATACTCTGCCTGCGCTCTTCCTCTATCTTGCTGGAAACTGTGTCTTCACATAATCATAATATATGAGTGAGTGTCTGCACTCCTGAACGTAATCTGCCGGTGAGGCACCCCCCTTCTCAACAGGGTCGGGCGAAGGGTGCTCCTCCACGGGAACACTCCCCCTGAATGCGTCAGGCGGGAGTAAGGACTCTGACTCGAGCTTTCCAATCGGAGAAGCTTAGAGGTCCATGCATCTATAAACCGACGTCACGGTACTGTCAAAACACGATGCTCATGTGTATGTATGAATGTATGAGGTATGATGCATGAATGCATGAATGCATGTAATGTATGGGTGCAATGTATGGGAGAAGGAATGTGAGATGTGATGGAAAGCGGTGGCTCTCATCGATTACCCGGGCATGTCAGCGCCGAGAGGCAGACGTGCTGCATAAGAGATGTTCGTCGCCATCCTGGAAGGGATGGGCGAGCCGAACATGAGCCAGACACGATGGCACAGAGGCGCTGATCGTGCTGCATAAGACGTTCGTCGCCACCCTGGAAGGAATGGGCGATCCGAACGTGAGCTGGGTACGATGGCGCTGAGGGGCCGATCGTACTGCATAAGACGGTCGTCGCCATCCTGGAGGGAATGGGCGATCCGAACCGTGAATCAGGACACGATGGCGCTGAGGGGCCGATCGTACTGCATAAGACGGTCGTCGCCATCCTGGAGGGAATGGGCGATCCGAACCGTGACTCAGGACACGATGGCGCTGAGGGGCCGATCGTGATGCAAAAGACGTTCGTCGCCACCCTGGAAGGGATGGATGAGCTGAACGTGAGCTGGGTATGATGGCGCTGAGGGGCCGATCGTACTGCATAAGACGGTCGTCGCCATCCTGGAGGGAATGGGCGATCCGAACCGTGAATCAGGACACGATGGCGCTGAGGGGCCGATCGTGATGCATAAGACGTTCGTCGCCACCCTGGAAGGGATGGACGAGCTGAACGTGAGCTGGGTATGATGGCGCTGAGGGGCCGATCGTACTGCATAAGACGGTCGTCGCCATCCTGGAGGGAAATGAGCGATCCGAACCGTGAATCTGGACACGATGGCGCTGAGGGGCCGATCGTGATGCATAAGACGTTCGTCGCCACCCTGGAAGGGATGGACGAGCTGAACGTGAGCTGGGTACGATGGCGCTGAGGGGCCGATCGTACTGCATAAGACGGTCGTCGCCATCCTGGAGGGAATGGGCGATCCGAACCGTGAATCAGGACACGATGGCACTGAGGGGCCGATCGTGATGCATAAGACGTTCGTCGCCACCCTGGAAGGGATGGACGAGCTGAACGTGAGCTGGGTACGATGGCGCTGAGGGACCGATCGTACTGCATAAGACGGTCGTCGCCATCCTGGAGGGAAATGAGCGATCCGAACCGTGAATCTGGACACGATGGCGCTGAGGGGCCGATCGTGATGCATAAGACGTTCGTCGCCACCCTGGAAGGGATGGACGAGCTGAACGTGAGCTGGGTACGATGGCGCTGAGGGGCCGATCGTACTGCATAAGACGGTCGTCGCCATCCTGGAGGGAATGGGCGATCCGAACCGTGAATCAGGACACGATGGCGCTGAGGGGCCGATCGTGATGCATAAGACGTTCGTCGCCACCCTGGAAGGGATGGACGAGCTGAACGTGAGCTGGGTACGATGGCGCTGAGGGGCCGATCGTACTGCATAAGACGGTCGTCGCCATCCTGGAGGGAAATGGGCGATCCGAACCGTGAATCAGGACACGATGGCGCTGAGGGGCCGATCGTGATGCATAAAGATAGTGATGATCATGTCATGGCCCTCGGCCTCTCGCGGCCCTCGGCCGTGCTGGTGATGTGTCAAGTCTCTCTCTTGATTGGCTGTGAGAAGCCGATCGTCTGCCAGGACTCCATCCGGGAAGGAATGGTGAGCCTGAAATAAATCCGGGCGATGTCCCTCCTACCTGATCTGGGGAGCTAATCGTCGTTCGTCTACCGTATCCGTGGTCCTATGTACGGACCGCTAAGCGGTGTACACTCGGTACGCAACAGACTCCGGTGGAGAACTGGTCCTGCGTGTCTGACCCATGGGGCTGGTCTTCGTTCGTCTACCGTATTCGTGGTCCTATGTACGGACCGCTAAGCGGTGTACACTCGGCACGCAACAGACTCCGGCAAAGAACTGGTTCTTCGTTCTTCCCAAGTCTCGTGAGTACTGGTCTCCTGGTTTCGCAGGAGACGTTCGTCATCCCAACTATGAGAAGAAACAGGTTTATCCACGTCGGGATTCCCTATTCTTCGTTCGTCCCTGTCGTGGTCCTACTAACCTTCTTACTTCGAAGAAGACGTTCGGTCATCCAACGATCGCAAGGAGGAACAGGTTTATCCACGTCGGGATTCCCTATTCTTCGTTCGTCCCTGTCGTGGTCCTACTAACCTTCTTACTTCGAAGAAGACGTTCGGTCATCCAACAATCGCAAGGAGGAACAGGTTTATCCACGTCGGGATTCCCTATTCTTCGTTCGTCCCTGTCGTGGTCCTACTAACCTTCTTACTTCGAAGAAGACGTTCGGTCATCCAACGATCGCAAGGAGGAACCGGTTTATCCACGTCGGGATTCCCTGCTTCGTCGTCCCATGCTCGTGGCCCTACTAGCCTTCTGCTCTGGCAGAAGATGTTCGTCGAACCACGGGTCATGGGAGGAACTGGTTTATCTTGCCGAGGTTCCCTTTGGTACGTCTAGCCCCCCCCACGTTCCTACTAGCCTCCGCGTCGGGAGACGTTCGTCATACGCGGCGAAGGAAGATCAGGCATACCTCGTCAAGACTCCCTCTCTCATAGGAGCTTCTCTCTCCCCTTCTCCCCATCTTTTTTTTTGTTTTTTTTTTTTTTGAGGGAGGAA